ACACATATCTCAGTATAAGCAAATAAGACCCTCTGGTTAATAACACGAATAAGACCCTCCGGTTAATAACACGAATAAGACCCTTTGGTCAATAACACAAATAAGTCCCTCCTGTCTCACATAAATTACCACTCAGTTAAGTATAGTGAGAAGACTCACCTTGACGAAGGACCATTCCTACAACTGTTGCTGCCGTGCACCGACCCTAAACACTGAGCCAAATTCACAACTAAACTCAATTAGTATCCAAGGCTAAACCCAAGCACTAAGTCCAAAGATGGCCCAACTAACCATGCCCACAAAAGGTTCAAGCCCATTGGGCCCACTAAGGCCCATAAATAAGTCCAATCCTTAATGCAAGTCCTCAGTCCATCAAAACCCCAAATAGCACAAACCCAGACAAAAGCCAAGGCCCAAAGTCCAAACGAAGAACAAGTGCGAAAGCCCATTGACCATCATTACGCTGGGCATAATCCTAGTACGCCCTGTGTACCAGGTTGCTCAGCTGAAAACGGGGAGCTGCATGCACACGCTCAGCGTACCCATTTTTACGCTCGACATACGCGCCAAAAACCCAAATTTTCCATTAAGCACTTAATGCTTAAGACCAGAAGCCCACAACACAAATCCAAATCTTAATGAACGTCTAGAACCATAAAGTCACGGACTTAGTGACTTTGCATGCCCCAAGAGGACCCAATCTCAAGAAATAACACTCTACTTCCACTAAATGAACATTAACTTATGCATGAAATGATTATACTCATCAAGATCCAAACTTTAAGACTCCATAACCCCAACAAGGACCAAATACGAAGCTCAAAGGTTCTGGAGTAAATTCTACTCACAAGAACCACCACAAAGGGACCAAAACCATAACCAAAAACCACCTAGCTAGATCTACATGAAAGAGTTTCCAACTTGAGATTTTATACCTCTAGAAGCTTGCAAAGTTATTGAAGGTTCTGGATCTAGATGATGGGTTTTAAGCACTATAACATCCCTATGGTGCACATACAACCCTAATGCTTTGGATCTAAAATTTTCTCAAGTTATACATGCAGTTTGATTTTATCCAAAGCATATACCCTAGCTAGCATGGAATTGGAGATATACAACATAAAAACTAGTTAGATGAATACCTCTTTGTTGTAGCTTGTAGTTCTTGGCCTTTCAAAAGCTTAGCACGTCAAATGTGATGCCTTAAATGTGCCACAAACACCAAAAGCACAAGGAGGCTTATGAGAGAGAGAGAGAGAGAGAGAGAGAGAGAGAGGTTAGGAAGCACAAAATCGGCTAGGGTTCCACCTTGGAAGAGATTGACCGATTTTAGGGGGGTTAGGGGTTACCTTTATAGTGTGGAATTCCTAGAGTTTCTTACATGTAAGCCCTAATTCACCATGACCCTTCACATTTCATAGGCCCTTTGGACCAAACCTTCATGGACTCTCATATAGGCTTAGCCCATCCCTAATCAACATGGATCATTAGTCCAAACTATAAGTATTACTGATTTACCTAATCAGTCCCTGTAAATTTAATCAGTCTCTTTTTGATCACTAAATTAATTCCAAATTAATCTTGATCAATACTAATTAAATAATATGATTTCTCAATTAATATATTATTCTTATAATATATTAATAAATCACAAATAACATTTTTCTCAAATATCCGTCCTATCAAATTGCTCCGGTGAAGGCAACCCAAAAGGACCATGCTACTATTGGGTCAAGTACATACCAATTATAGTTATGGGCTTAGACACCTAATCCAACACCAGAAGCTTTACACCAACTATAGCTTGATTACCAAGTTCTTTCTTCTTCAAGGGCCAAACATAAGAAGTCATAACCCAACTAGATCCAAAGCCACAAAGATTCAAAATTTATACTTTCTGGAGCTAGATCAATATGATTAGGGCTTGGATATACAAGCTCCAAGCTAAGCAATGCTTCCTTAAGAAACTCCTTCTTCCACAATAAGCACCAAAAACCCACTAAATCACCCAAAAGTTCAAGAATCACTCAAATGGAGGCTAAGGGTCGATTTCTAGGGTTTAAAGGGATGGAGGCTGGAGATATTAGGGTTAGGTTATGAGATAAGGAGCTTAAATAGGGTCCAAGACCCTAAAATAGGGTTTGGGTCTGATTGGAGTACGCCCAACGTACTCCGAAAAGCACCCGCGATCATCCTGGTCAGTACGCCCAACATACGCCAAGCCCCGCATACCGTTCTCTTCACTAGTACATCCCGCATAACCTTTATGTACGCCCCGTGTACCCGGCCGAACCCCAAAACCACCAAACTTCCGGAGGCCATAACTTCTTCATTATAAGTCTGTTTCCAACGATCCTTATATCCACAAAAAGGTAGCGAGAAGCCCTACATTTCTACCAACCGTATTTCTCATGAAGCCCACTCGAACTCAAATCCAAAATTCAAGAAAGGCCCGAACCAACGCCTTTAACCATACCCTTGGGCTCTAAAGCACAAACCAAACTCTTTTATCACACAACCTACCTTACCCACATCCCAAAAGGGTCTAAACCTTCCTTCTTTAAAGCCTCAAAACTTCTCTTACCCAAATTACCGCTCACGAGCCTTAAATCACAAACGCTCCGAAACAGGATGTTACAGCACAAAGGTTTCAATAGTTTGCTACTTTTGGTCCCTGACATTTACCAAATGTGACACCTCAAGTTTTGCCACATTAGTTTGTGGAGTTGGCGTTTTTGGTCTCTCCATCTTCGATATTTTATTATACGACCCTACTTTCCTCAAAACATTATACACACAAAAAATAGAAACAACAAACGAGTAAAAAACCAAAGAAAGATTGAAATATGTAACCATGAAAAAAATTGGAATGCCAACATTTTATTCATATTCATCCTCCTACCATATCAAATGTTGACATGTGTCACATTTAATGAAATTAATTATAATTTAATCCACTTGTCACCATTTAATATGAGTAACATGATTTAATGATATATTTAATATGTGTAGCAGGATACTAGGAAGAAAAATATATGAGAATATTTAAACTCTCATTATTTTAAGATCCATATTTGAGAATTATAACTTCAAAATTTTGGGTTTTATTTCTTTTCCTTAGTTAGCCTATTTTAGTCACCAATATAATTTTGTCGGAATCTAATCTAATCTAATCTAATATTCTAGTAAACGAATATTTTTTTATGCATGCCAATCTTGGGAAGTTCTTGTGATTTTTTTTACGGTTCAATTTGTTTACGTCCTTAATTACATTTACACATTTTTTTTTTCATAATTTTCTATTTTCAATGCAATTAATTTATTCTATCTCTCCTTATCTAATAAAAGAATCAATTTTGTGTCATATGACAACTAATTGTTTAAATTTGAATTCCTAAATACCATTTTCATTCGAGAAAATATCACTATAATACATTAAACTTAAAGGTATATTTTCGATTTTGTGACTATTTTTTTTAAACATTAGACCACTAAACTCCCTTTTGACCTGTCAATTAAACAATTTTTGATTGATTTGACTCAGTTATCGGTGACAAGCCTACATGGAATTTAATTTCACTTTTCCTTTTATTTTCCATTCTTTTAAATAATTATTTTGCTAAAATAAAAGGTATTGGGTCCCACCCATCAACCCCTTGTCTAAAGAGTCAAAGTCAAGCCGTCACGTCAGGGGCGGTCCTGAGGATTCAAATGCCCTAGACGAGCCGAAAAAAAGGCCCTTAATCCTTAACGTGTAACGAATTAAATTACATAAACTATTTTTTTTAGAATGACGATAAACTTATATCAATAAACATAACAAAATCATAGTATTTTAATGAGTACCGACTAGTTGTTCCGGACCGGATATTTTATACTACAATTTCACTAAAAGTATAAATATTTTTGTAAAACGAAGATGTTAATGGTTAGTTTGGTCATTAGTAAAATGTGACAAAAATCTACTCTTCTCCTTCAATCGTCCAACGATACCTTGCCGATAACTAGAAGTCCTCACTATCATTATCTTTTTGGAAGTCATTATAAATTAGTGAAACAAATGGGTGCATAGTGTATTAAAACTCAATAAAAGTAATTAATCTTTTAACAAAAAAATACTTAATAATTTAATAAAATATGATATGAAGAATCTTGCAATCTTGTTCTTAGTGGATGCAAAAAAAAAAAAAAAACCCGAGAATTTAATTGAAGCACACAAAGGAACTTTAGGCCAATTAAAAAGGCATGCAGTTCAACAATGAAGGGATTCGAACCTGGAGAGTTTGCATTGACTTGAAAAAATGAAAGCACGCTTATCAGTTAAGCCATATGAAATTTATGTTCTTGTTTGAAAGATTTATTATTTATATAAATATTAAATAGACAATATGGCTAAATCTCAGACCCTATTTTTTCAGGCCTGTGCGTTTGCCCGCCTTGCCCCCTTAAATCTAGCCTTGGGTCATGTGTAATTCCCCTTCCCCCCTTTCAATTAGAAGCTTCTTTTTTTCTCTCTCTCTCTCATTGTATGCCTTTGTTGTCTTTATATTTGCAATAGAAGTTGTGATTTCTTGAACTAAATGACAATCACACCCTCAATGCCCATTAAATATTGATAAATGGAAACAATTTGACAAACTTGCTTCAAATTTCCATAATTCAAGACAAAAAGATTTGATTATTTGATTTCTCTTACAACTGAAGGGTTTCTAAAAATATTTTATCTTTGGAAAACGTTTCCATCCAATTCACCTTTGATTGCAAACTTTTTGGCTTCTTCCAATGACTTTATTTGAACATCGTCAAATATCTCGGTTCATCCATTTGTCAAGAAGTAACCCCAACGGGATTTTTTTGAGTTGATTAGTAGTGTTCATAAAAGATTGGTGGTATTGGAAATTGAAAAGAGATAAAAGAATACTAATTGGGTATGTAGTTTGAAGTTTCTTTGTGATCAAGGCCACATCGTGTTGGAAGCTTGAGAACATTATAAGTATTTCTTATGTGTATTCGTATACTACCTTCATGATGATTTGAAGAACTTTGATGAGATACTCTTGTTCATAGACAATGTAATCATCAAATTTCAACTCCAAGTTGAATACCAAGCATAGTTGTACTTTTTCAAAAGCTTCTGCAAGAATGATCATCAGTTTCAACATTCCACCTGACCATGGGATTCTCTAAGAAAAGAATTACCCACCACACCTGCAACTCTTTGAAGGCAAAGGCGAATCCTCTTAAGGGCCAGGAGGCCATGGCCTCCCTGATTTTTCACCAAGACAAGTATTATACACACTAAGGTTTTGCCCCCCCCCCCCCCCCCCACCTATTATATTATAATACATGAATATAGCAAGAACATTAATTAAAATATAACTAATTATCTTAGGAAAACAAATAACCCATAGAATCAATCGTATGTGACTTATAAATTAAGAAACTAACCAAGTAATCAATAAAAAAACACGGAAATTTTTCAAAAAATCAAAACCAATCCTACTAAAATTAGAATGCTAATTATTCGGAAATTTAAACTTAACAGAAACCAAAAATCTATCTTGACGTACAACTTTATAACTCTATGATTTAGAAAATATAAAACCCTAAACTAACTGCTGTCGGAAAAAGATTTGCTCACCGGAAAAAAGAGCTAATGCCGGAAACACAATTACACAACTGAAACGGCGATCTTTGTGGTCGGTGCTCACCACTCCGTTCTTTTTCACGCCATTATTGACATTTGTACGCTCTCCGTGTCTCCTATCAAACGCTTGCGAAAATACTACTCCGACTGGCGACCTTTGTGGCCGGTGCTTCATCTTCACCAGAATATTATTGAGCCCTGTGCTCTGTCTCATCTCTCAAACCGTTTGACTAAGATAAGCCATTTTTCTCTCATTTTCTTTCTCTTTTTGATCCCTAAATTAAACTTGAATAACATATGAAAGCTAATATGTTAAAAGTACTAAAATGCTGCACATGGTTTAGGCCCCGTTTGATACGCGTCTGACCGAGTCAAGTCAGACGTTTTTGGCTGACTCGGTCAGCAAAATCTGTTTGATAATCAAAATTTGGCCATCTGACTCGGTAAGAAATGTCTGACCGAGAAAGGAGTTGGGAGAAGGCTGACTGAGAAAGAAAGCAAAGCTTTACAATAATACCCTTGCCCTTGGATAAAAATTCACAGCTCAACAAGTGAAATGGGAGGTTACAGGAATTGAACTCGGGTCTCCCATATATAAACAATGGTGTTTACCACCAAGCTAGATGGTTTTTTGTGTTTTAATCTCTAAAATAGTATATTTAATGTCTATTTTGCTGGAAGTTTTTGTATACATTATTATTAATATTGTTAATATTAATATTAATATTAATATTAATATTATTATTATTATTATTATTATTATTATTATTATTATTATTATTATTATTATAAAGAGCACGAGTGTAAAATGACCATTTTGTATCAGTCAGCACATTCAGTTAGATGTACAATCAAACAACATGATTTCTTTCTCAGTCAGAATTTATTACTCAGACAGACATTTCCCAATCAGCACTTTCTCAGTCAGCAACTATCAAACGGCCCCTTAGTGTCCCAATTTAATTTATAAATTGTTATTTCAGCAATGGATTTACTATTATTTATTGTTTGCCAATTTATGAATTCATTGTGTTAAACAAAAGAATGTTACAATAGTTTTAAGAATTTTACTAAAATCTTAGGAAAATTAGTAGGAATATTTATTTTATTTTAGTTAATTTTGTTATTTGATTGATAATATTTTGTGTTAAACAAAAGAATGTTACAAAATTTTTTGGAATTTTATTGTTAGTTAATTGTGCAAAACCTAAAATAAGCGAAAAATCAACAAGTTATTGTGCAAAACCTAAAATAAGCGAAAAATCAACAAGTTCTAGTGATATCAAAATATTTCATTTTAATCGGTTTGTAAATGTCTCTTTTATATGTCATAATTTTGAACCGAATTAAATTTGCATATATAATTTGTTCTGAAGTTCTTGTTTCAGACCCACTAACTTTAGGGTTCGTGTTCCGTCCCGGTTTGACGGCCACAATAAAAGAACTCATCAACTATTGTTAAATTAGTGACCCTCTTCTCAACTATGATACCCTGAAAAAGATCAAATCGAATACATGAATTCTTGATAGAAATTGTAACCCATGATATGTGTTTATCGAATCTGTACCGGTTGGGAGAGGGAAAAAACCCTTGTCAAAATCACTGATCCCACTTAGGTTTAATTCCATCGAATCAGAACCTAGAAGTAGAAAACCGAAAAAAAAGGAACCAACAAATCGGAACCCAATTCCGACAGGTGCAAGTTGAAGAGTGATGTGTGAAGAATAAGCAGAGGGAGGAAGGGGCAGGAACAAGAAGAGAGATTTGATAATATCAAAGGTTAATTAAAATTTTTAAATTTTAACAAATTAAAAATATATTGTTATCTATGTGGATTATATGATGTGGCTCCCAAACTATACATATAAATTAATTATAAATGCCACATCAGTATTTTAATCTGGTAACCTGTAAAATTCAAGCAGAGTGTTTTAATTGATAGGTTAAAAAGGATTTAGTGGTCTAATGAAAAACTTTAGTGATGGAAAAAAAAAACTTTTTAACTTTAATGTGCTACATTTCAACTACATTTACCCCGCGGGTATTATTGTCAGTTCGATTTACATTGATGTTTCTTCTCATTCTATCTGTTCATCGATTCATTCCTCATAAATCATGATTATATCTCCCTCAATTTCGTCTTCTCTCTTTTGGAAACAAAATCACCATCGATATCGATTTAATGTTACAAATACCTAATCCCTAGGGATTAATCCTACTGTGTTTCCACCTCTAACGATATACATAATTCTTCTAGCATGCCTTCTCAATCCAAAGCCTGAACCGATTTATCGAACATAAGAGGTACAATTATGCATATCTTATCACTTTGGCATCCCTTTCATTAGGGCGCTGCACTATATTTTACACCATTCAACTTTGTCTATGTCATTGGATATATAACAAACACTATTTTCACTTGTAATCAGGATATTTGTTTGTTCTTCTGGTTCCTTTGTGGTATTGATCGTGTAAAGCTTTGATCATGTTAGTTTTCTTAATACAACATTGGGAACTCCAAGAATTTTAAATTTTAATGTTGAGACTGATTTATCAGAAGATATTGGTGAACGAATTAACTGGATCGTTGTTTATTTCACTTGATTAACTTTTTGATAAATGTTGGTGATACTACGGTTTTGCTGTGAGACATCAACATATACAGAGATAACATGAATATTCAAGCATTTAAAAGGCTAATAATCTCTCCATCTCCTCTCTTTATCTACCTTTCAGTTTCTGATAGGAACTTAATTTGGTTTATACTATAAAAAGAAACACATCTGTATATTTTTCATGGATTTAGTTAGGAGGAAGAGGAGGAACGATATGATAGGTGGAAGGACTTCCTTGAACAACAATCGGAGTCTTCTCAAGCTTCAAAGCAGGAAACAGTTGATAGTTATGATAAGGCCATTGAAGGGGATGTTGATGCTCAAAAGGAAGAGGGGTTGCAACTCATGAAGAACGAATATGGGTTCATATTACACCATTCATTCGAGTCATTTAAGATATAATAAATTCCAGTGTTAGGCAGAAGTTTGGTGTTGCTAAAACTGAGAAAGATGTTGGAGCCAAAAAAATCCTGCTATATTTGAAGATTCCAGATTTGTGAACCAAGGATTGAAGATGACATTGAATAAGCGTTTTATGATAGGGAGAAGGCAAAATCGTACCCAACTCCACAACTCCCTTCAAGTGATGTTTTAATTGACTCTATGGAATCATCAATTCCATGGAAAAAAGAGTTGGAATGTCTTGTCCAGGGAGGAGTGTTGATTGCTCTTAAAGGTGATGGAAGGTTGCATTTCCTGAATAATATATTCCTACTTTTTCCTCATTATCGATATCATGGATTTGATTAGAATTCTCGATGATTACTTTGAGGGCTATGAATCAGATGAAATGATAGAGTCACATTTGCTATTTAAACAAATTTCTTATTTTACAAGATAACCCTAAAATAACAATGAACTTTAAAGTTGGTGTTACATTTTATGATACAAATCTTATTTTTGCTATTAATTAGGTAGATTTTTCCAAGCCCGTAATAGCAATGCACTATCTTATTTTGAGGATATCTCCTTCATCATGTATTGATTTTATTTTTTGGTTTTCTATAAATTTGTGCGATAAAACCCATACTACGATGTCTCTGTTTTCCATTTTTTTTTATTTTATCTTGAATTCCATCGATTTCACTTAGGAATCTCATTAATTTTAATGTATTTGGTTTTTTTTATTGCCATGCCTAAGCTTCATGCCTCTATTTTATGTGGGATGAAAACTAATTACTTATTTTAATTGCAAATGAAAATGATAATTACTTTTCTGCATATCTAAAGTGGAATAAACAATAGGACTTTAGGGACTTAAATAGTTAAGTATAAGTTGTTTTTATCATACTTATTACTTAAAAATGTAAATGATATCTTTGAAAATTATGAAAACATATTTTATTGGACAAGCGAAATTATGTTTCTATTTAAGAAAAATTAAATTATTTTACTTTATAAACTGTATAGGACACATGTTTTAACCTAATATTTTATAAAACAACCTAGTATTTTATAAAACAAAATAAACGATACATTTTTATCCCATAAAATCAACATCTAATTAAACATAAGAAATTATTAATATACCATTTTTTATTTGATTTTCATCCGGAATTACCATGTAATTATTATGTGAATCCGGTTATATGAGGAAGCATTTATTCATATTATTAACTAAAAAACCATATATCTTTATCCCCCAAGATTCATTCTAAATTTGATATTTCATTGTAATACATGATTTTTTTATCATTAACATAGATATAAAAACTTTGCTTATATACTTCAACCATTTTACATATTAATTTAAATTAGCAATTGTACATTTCTTAACAAAACATGTACCTATATTCAAAATAATTCCTAGCAAATCTATGATTATTTTTACATTGTTTAAAATTTCAATGTTGTTTTACTTTTTCGGTCTAGTCGTGCATGAGTTACAACCTAGGGTTTTATAGGAGAAGGTGCTTATGACAATAATTAAAACTTTTATAAATAATCCTCAAATAGATTTTTTTAAGATAGTTTAAACAACAAATATCTAACCCTAATATTTATGGAGACATATACGAAAGTGATAGGGCAAGAAGATTAAGGCAAACTGAAAACCATGATATATAATGGTTTACATCAACACAAGGTCATGCCCTTCAATGAAATTGTTGCACATTGAATGAATTCGGTCTCTAAATCGATTCAATATAAGAGTTTTTATAGCAGAACTTAAACCTTTGGGACTGAATTTTCGTCTCTAATAGAAATCATTATATTACATTCAAATGGACACTTATATTAGACTAAGCTTGCTTATTGATAAACAAGGTGATGGTATAGTCAACTCTTTTAATAAGGTAAATTGGATTCCCTTAAATGTGAATTTCTTTGTGTGGAGGATGCTTAAAAACAGAATTCCCATCTTTCCAAACTTATTGAAACGTGGGATAAATGTTTCATCGATCTTGTGTCACTTATGTTAGATCTAGGATGAGAGCTTGGATCATGTTTTTTTCTTGTTGGGTGGCTTCGAAGCTATGGAAATGGCTGATGGAGTGGCTTCGAGGGATAATATTAAACAAATTCAAAAGTTGAAGTTATCGCTTATTTACTTCACATTACTAGGCGAATGTATGCGTATTGCGGAGATTAACTATG